AAAGCATCTAACAGGCAAAGCTTTTACCACTACCCCGATGGTATAAGTATCCTAGTTTTCTCTTAATACACAGAGAGCTAGGTCTCAGAGAGTTGGGTCGCAGAAAGCTGTGACACAGAGCGCTGGGTTGCAGAGCTGCTGAATTACTGAGAGCAGAGACACTTAATAAAGCTGTAACACAGACTAAGTCGAGTCTTGAGTCCTGTGCCTTACTACCAGCGACCTAGCCTCTCCGGGGGGCGCACTCCCCTGTGACTGACTTACGGACATCCTAGCTTTTGCTGTCCTCGTACTCTTCCCATGGGGTTCAGTGGCCAGTGGACCTCACATCCTGAGGAAAGTACAGGGGTGGAAAAGGGACAGAATTCGGCTGGACAACGCTCCAGTAGCAGAGAGACTGTCAGCACCAGAGCGGCGGACAACGACCTATCTGCTGCCGCTCCCAGAGACGCCTGTGGCTAGACCCGCTGCCGACTAGCCAGGTGTGGCGGGGACCCCGAGATACCCGCGCACACCATGCCTGGGGCCCAGAGCACTCCCTGATACCCACGAACACCACGCCTGAGGCCCATAGAGACACGGAGAAGCCCGCGGGGCAAGACCCGCCTTCCTCCAGGTGCATGGTGGCGGAGAAGCCAGCAGACCCGCCGTGGAATCCCGAGAGTGCGTGCAGGGACCCCGGGCACCCAGCGCGCGCTCCCTATAGATGCACTTATATACATGCAGGCAATACACTCATACACATAAAATAAAAATAATAAATAAAATATTTTAAAAAATAAATACACAAATAAATGCGGGGCTGGAGAGATGGCTCAGCAGTTAAGAGCAATGACTGCTCTTGCAGAGGACCCAGGTTCAGTTCACCTCACCCACATGACAGCTAACAACCATCTGTAACTCCAGTTCCAGGGGCTCTGCAGTCCTCTTCTGGCCTCTGTGGGCATTGCATGACACTGTTGCACTTAACATACATGCAGGCAAAACACTCAGACACATGAAATAAAACTGAAATTGAAATAAAATATAAATACATAAAGAATAAAATGTATCCATCTGTACTTTCTCTCTGTGTCCTCCCCGCCTTTCCTTTAACACTATAATTTGGTGTGAATCATCAGGTTTTAGGATATTTTTGTGTATTCTTGCATTTGTTTATTTCTTGTGTGTGTGGGTGCTGTGGGTGTTGTGTTTGTAAGCAGAAATCAGAGGACAACCTGCAGGGATCAGTTCTCTCTTTCCACCAGGCTCCGAGGATCAAATTCAGTTTGTCAGGCCCAGTAGAAAGCACCTCACCCACTGAGCCATCTTGCCAGTCCCTCTTTTTTTAAAAATATTTTATATTAATTTTTTTAATAGGGCTTTTGGCTACCCTAACAGTTCCTCTTTCTGAAGAGGTAACCTAAAATCTTTTAAGGATTAGATACAAGCTCCCAAATGTTTCTGACATTTTAACATTTTTGGCCTTTGGAACAGAGTGTGTGTTGCTAACAGGCCCAGGGACATTTTGACTTTTTGCCTAGAAACTGGCTACATTTCTTTGGGGTCTTTTTACCCTAACTGCCTAGCCAATTCCTACCTCCTATTCTGATCACACCATCCTCTGAAGGGGATACACAAATTGCCAATAGGGAATAGGGATGTAGACCACTCTGGCTTCTTCCATGTTGAACAGGG